GTAAATAAACAGCTTACTTATTTATGATGCTTATTTTCTTAAATTTAATAAAATGATTTCATAATGATACCTGTAACAATAAAAATATAAAGCATTACATACATCATATTTAAATGAATAATGCTAGAACCAACAGTATCACCATCCAGACAACACTGATATCAGATAGAAACTTATTTACAGGTGTATTTATTAATATAATTTATTAATTCATTGTGTAATGATTCTTTTCAAATCTTACCATAAGGTGCTGTCACATAAACCTTGGTTTAGATGGTCCCACACACTGTCATTGTCTGTATACCTGTATTTGAGTTGATGCTCCATTTTATTTTAAACAGTGTTTATTTTGTCTACTGCCCTGACAACAAAAGGAAAACTTATCTAAGAAAATGTGTCCTTGATTTGAAGTTGTGGTTCTCTTTGCAAGAAAAACCACCATTTGTTCTAGTATGCTTTCACTGCTCAAAGAGCTTCATAATCGAATAAGGATCTATTTATCTTTAAAGAATATTCAGTAGTTCAGATTTTCTCAAAACAATTAACTTCTCAGTTTCATCTTTGCTATGTAAACAAAGTGATTTTTATTACTTCAAATGTCATGTTTAGCAGATATCTATATTTGTGTAGAGGCTTCATTTTATTTTAAACAGTATTGTCAAATATTAAAACAGTAAGTTTGTTTCCATTTTGAAGGACATAGAATATTTGTCAAATTTTAAATTCTTATTTTGGAGGGCACAGTATAATTGTCAAATTTTAAATCCTTAAGTACGTTTACATTTTGAAGGACACAGAATATTTGTCAAATTTTAAATTTTTAAGTGTTTTTCCATTTTGGAGGACATTGAATATTTGTTAAATTTTAAATTCTTAAGTATATTTCCATTTTGGAAGATATAGCATGTCAAATTTTAAATCCTTAAATAAGTTTCCATTTTGGAGGACACTGTATATTTGTTAATTTTTAAATCTTTTATTGGATAAAATTAGTTGGTAATGCATATAATCAAGAGAAACAAATTGGCATATTTAAATGTTGACACAAGAGCATAAACGTGAGTGTGTTTATATATATTTGCTGTTCTGCCACAAATGCAAAAAAGGAAATTGGAGAAACTGGAACAAAATTCTGTCTTCAATTCAATAGCCATAAAAAAACATCAGGGGCAACAACAACAATTTCCCTGTCACTACACACTTCAACCACCTATTTCATAGCATGGATGACATCAGATTTGTGCTTTTAGAATCTTCATTCAACAGTCAAGAAGAAATACACAGAGTGGAGTTTATTTTGAAAATAAATTTAAACATTGACGGATTAAACAGGGATTTGGGTTTACTCAGAGAGTATAATTTCCACAGGGAGACTTCTAACTGAAAACATTCCTCAGAAGAATAAGTCTTACTTCTTTGTTTATTCCTCCTTTTATTGAAAAAGAACACAGGTGTGTTCAAAAATTCTGAAATTAAAATCTATCTCTTCGTACTTCAATTCAGTCAAAGGTTAATATATAAAAATATCATTTTGTTGTGTTTTTAGTATCAAATTCTAATAACTAACTGGCCTATTAAATATATATATATATATATATAGTTTTTAAAATCAGAAAATATTATCAAAGAATTTCAAAATAATGAAAATAGAAAAATCAAGTTATATTCTGATTTCTGAATATGAAATGTTGTTTTTTTTTTAATTCAATATTTGAATAATTAGTATAAAATCAATTGACAGAGTCTTGTTAATGCTTGTGTTTTTCAGATCTTAACACTTCCAAACACTTTAAATCCTCCATGTCAGTGACTGACCAAAATCTACGTAGGAGTACACAAAAGAAATCTAAGCAACAAACACATTTCTACCCTGGAAATACAAACCATAGTTCATCCAGGTCTTTATGCAAACCAAACATTGGCCACATCCCTGATTGTAGTCAGTGGATTGATCTAAAACCAGCTGCAATGGACAATGGCATTTCAGGCCCATATTCTCAACTTTGCAACTTAACAGAGAACAGGAACTCCATTTCTGACCATCAGAAGCTGACCACAGCACCACAACATCTTTCATATTCAGATTACCTTGGCTAAGCCACATCAGTTCACTCTTCCAACAAAAATTATTTTTGTGTAGTTTTCCACATGATTGTTATTGCTTTCAAGTATTAAAATTTCTGAGTTGTACTGTTGGCAATTCAGTGCATAGAAAGCCAGGGAAACACAGAAAATGAAAAAATAAGAACAACAACTACAATAACAAAAAAGAAGAACAAAAAAACATATTTGTGATGTTTGGGAAGCTTCACTGATTTTCTTTTCTTTTGAAATTGCCAGAATGATTTCTATCAACTTTTTACTTTTGTTTTGACTGAAAAATCAAAATCTGCTTTTATCTTTAAAAAAAAAAAAACAGCATTTAAGGACCTCCTCATAATCAACGTTTTAATATATTGCTTCAATTCACAATATCAATTTTCTTTACAACTTTTATGATTAAATAATCAAACAAGATTGTTAATATCTATAACACTTTTTTATGCAAGACAAAGGTTGTTCTGAGAGACACTGTCAGTTGGCTGGAAATATATGAGAAAATTGTTGCATATACAACAGCAGCAGGTGTTAAGTACAAAACCAATAAAACTACTGGCTAGAGAGACACACAGACACACAGTGAGCAGAATATATTTTGGTTACTGTACAGACTCTGGTCATAATCCATTTTTTTTTTTTTTTTTTTGGTCGTGGGGAGCTTCCTATTTGTGTATTATGTTTTGAATAATTGCTTCTCAGGCTACACATTTCCCAGACTTTAACTCTTACCTTCTCTGACTTTTGAACTGTTTTTGCTTTGATTAGATTAGTGGTTCTCAACTATAGTAATATTCCATTTCCACTTCCTTGGGGGACATTTTAGGGTTTCACTGGGGAAACTGGGACCATAAATTGGCAGATTCAAACTGTTGGAATATTGATCTTTCTACAAACTACAATTCTACAATGCACCTTTTTGAGTCAGACAATCTTGGGAGTGGTGAATTGGGAGAAAAAGGTTGCATGTGCAAAAAATAAAAAAGGTTAAGAACTACTGGATTAGACAATTTCACAAGATCTAAAGTTATGATATTTGATCACTGGTTCCCTCCAAGAAATTTAGGATGTTATTTTTACATTATTTTCTTGTTATCTTTGATTAAGTTCTTTCTTCTGAAAATGTTTTAAAAACAGACAAAATAGAAGTAAAATGTAATTATATACATATGAAAAGAAATCAGTACTGTTGAGTTTGTATATCAGGCATATATCAGTCTGTGTGTGTATATTTGTAGTGTTATTGTAAACATTCTTGAGGTGAGAACATGAACTGTTGATAATTGAACCAATGGTAATTTAATTTGATAATCCATTGAAGTGAAATAAGACAAAAATGACATAAACAGAAAAAGAAAAAAAAAAGATGGAGAAATTCACATTGAAAAGATCATATATAAAATGGAAAAATACAGATCATTATCATGACTATTTTTCCTCAACATGGACATTTGCTTTCAAAATTAGTATCTCCCTTTGATGGCAGCTCCACCATGGAAAGAAAAGAAACAAGATAAGAAACTATGGATCAACAATGGAATTATATCTCTCCTAATGTACCAAAAACAAGCAGAAGACTAATGTATTTTTGATACAAGATAATTTTGTGTCAAACAATGAACAATCTGTTCTTGTCTTGTCTTGTTTTGTTTCTTCTTACTTCCCCTTTCTTTCCAGTTTTCTTATTAAGTAATTTGCAACACAGAAAATGACTTAATATGGAAAATTAGTTAATAGCGTTATCTCCAAGAGTTGGCATGTAAGCTGGAAGTGTGTGTTAGCAAAGAAATGGTTATAACAAGGGGAAAATATCTCTTCTTGAAAAGATAATCACCAACCTAGATTTTGTTGTATCCCAGAAAGTTGTACACAAATTGTATGTTCCAGAATAGGCAAGTGGTATATTGATTTCTTGAGGGATTAACCATTGTCTTGGATGTTTTGAATTCCTGAATTTGTGTTTGGAATAATACATACATTCACAAGTAGACATGCTAGATATTGATTTATTTTTTTTTTTTTGAGAGAGAGAGAGAGAGAGAGGGGGGAGTGGATAAATGGGATTATCTATATTTCAAAAGTTATCCTCAATCTTGTGCGTTCATGAGTGAACAGGCAAATGGTAAATGAAGTCCAGAACCCTACAAAAAAAAAAAAAGAATAGTAAAAAATAAAAAGAAGAAAAACAAAAACACAAAAGAAAAAAAAAAATCTGACTCACCAACAGAAACCTGGAAAAGATCTGCCTCTAATTATTAAGGAAAGAGAGCCTTCTGGAAAAGAAAAACAAAAAGCAAAAAAAAAAAAATCAAAACCAAAACAAGAAGGAAAGAAAGCCATTATTAAATCACCAGAAATTTGTTCTCTTTCTCTCTCTCTCAAGAGGGAAATATATATATTTATATATATATATATATATATATATAAAAACATACATACACACACACACATACATACATATATATATATATATATATATATATATATATATAAAAACATGTGTCCAAATGTGTATATGTTCAGCAAAGGAAAGGAGAAAAACAGAGAAAGACAGATTTGTAAAAACAGAGAGAGAAAATGATATGTAGTTCTGTGTGTCCATAAATAGCGGAAAAAGAAAAGGAAAAAGAAAAAAAAATGTCTGTTCCAAGAGTGGTCTGTTCCAATGCCTGTGTCCATTCAACGGGAAGAACATCAGCCAGTCACTGGCTTGAGCAGCCATTACACACACGCCACACTTGGTAGGACATCAGGCATCACTGTCAATTATGCACGGACATTCACACACACGTATACATACACATTTGCAATTCACATTTTTACACACGGAATACATGTACACGCACACATACCTAATGATGTTGTCACACAACAGCTGCAGTTACAGCAGGACTCTACGCCAGAACACATCTCACCACGGACTCCAGAGGATACACAACACAGGTTAGTTTGTATTGAGGTTTTCTCTCTTTTTTCTTTGTCTTCGAACATTGATAATGATTTGCTATATATATGAACATATACGCATTGTTAAAAGATACTCGAATATATTTCTTTAGTAAATATAAGGTTGGTTCTTGAGATGTTTCTTGCGAAAAACAAGTATCTTTGGTGTTGGTTTTGTAAGATATGTATGCGATAATCTGTGTAGATAATGTATCCTCTGACATGATCTTTGCCAAATCACAGACATAATGAGATGTCTAACAGTATGATGTTAGCATTGTCAATATAGTACTGATTTCTGAGATATAGCAACAGAGACTGTAGTGAAAATCCAGCATCTAAAATTCTATCTTTCGCATCTCAGTTCACCTTCCTTATTCTTTCCTTGTGATTGAAGCACAAGCACTTTGTTTTAAAATATATTATGAAACAGTCTCATAACATTTTGTTAATATTTGCTGAAGTTAACCCACAAAAATATCTTCTAATTATATATACCAAAAAGGAAACCAACATCTCTCCAATTGTCTTTGAGCTCTAAGACTTTGCGGAAAAATATATGTATTTATATATATATGTGTGAACACATGTATGCATATAATATACACATGTATGACAACAGATTGCAAGCAAACTGTATAGGTAGATTGATGGTTAAGTTGATAAATCTCAAAGAAAAATCAAAGAAATACAAACTACTGAGACTTCAACACTAGCATAATTCTTCAGGTGTATTATTGTCACTTTTAATACATCCATTTGTTTAAAAGCACAGATCTTGTAGTTTCACTAGCATCTGGTTTAAAAAAAAAAACAATCATTCTCAAAAAATGTCTAATCCAGCTAATGTTTTCAGAGTGATTTTTTTTTTTTAATTACATTTTCTAAAATTCTTTGCCTCATATTCAGGAAAGGAAGAGTGATCTTGAAAATATTAAAAATTCTAATTAAATACAGGATTTGTGAGTATTAGTTCATCTCAGGAATCTTGCATCATTCTCAACTGCAGCTTAATTGTCAGCTCTTTGCTTTCTTAAAGCGCCGGTATACCACAGTGGCTCAACTGAATTAATCCTCTTCACATTCGCTTGAGCTGCTGGAAAGAGATACGCCTGCATATAAAAGATACTGAAACAGAACAGAGCATTATGTTACAAGGCAGTGAGTTGAAAACATTTGTTTGTTTTTTTGTTTTTTTAGGCTCTTCAATATTTTATTGTGTAAAAAGATATCTGATATGCTTAAATGTTTATGATTTTTCTCACCATGTTGAAGAAAGACTAGCTCAAATCTCTGCTTTGACTAGTCATAAAATATATCAGGCTCATGACTTGATCCTAGTTTTATACTGAAACCTGCCTAACTGGAGATGATAAGACTCATTGACTGGGTGAATTGTTATATTTAAATGAGGACAGAGCATTTATCGACTGTCAGAATACAAAATCGTCTTGACAAACAGTTCAATTATTGTTTTTACTGTAGCAGCTCAAAGGATGAAGATCAAAATAATTGCAAGGAATTTTTGCAAGATGCAAGGTCTGTTCTTAATTAATGTCGTAAAAAATATACATTTTCAGTTCTTTTTATTTCTTTTTATGGTTTTAACTTTTGGAAAAGCTAAACTGAATATGCCCATAGGTTTAGTAAAGCTGTCCACAAGTAAGGGCTAAAAAGTTACTCTGTATAAGAAAAAAGAAATTAAAAAAAAAAAGATAAACATTTCATTTAGAATCAGAAAGATTTTAGTAGGGAAAAAATGGTTACCCAAGACATACGGAGTTTATATCATGTGGAAACATTTAATGAGGAATCATTTTTTTTTTTTTATATTGAACATGATAGGACATGATTTCTTTATTTTATTGTTGCCTTTTGGTAGGTTGTCATTAATTTCAGTGTTTAACATTTTTTGTTATCTCTTGTTATTACCATCTTTAATCATCATGTGCTTCATAGCCTCAACAGTAATGTAAGGATAATTCCTCTGGAGAAATGATTTTATTTTAAGACTCAGTAATCATTACAAAGGATAGACATACACACATACACATAAATAATCATGTTTTTATATGTTTCTGATTTTTATCATTAGACTTCAGAGTTTGTTTTTTCCATATACTTTATAAAAGCTGTCTTTTGAATGATTAATATTTAAATGCCTTTGCATGTATATTCTCTTGTCAAAATACAGATTTACTTATATTTTTGCATATTCTTATTATTATGGCTATTAATACCTTAGATTTCCAGTTGTTTAAGTATACTCATATATGACATTTAATTGATATGTATTTATTAAGGTTTCTCAGTTGAAGGAAAGTTCTGAAAGCCTTCAAATAGCCAAATAATGTGTCATTCTTGTTTAGTTTAGAATTAATATGAAAGTTAACAGCACTGTAAATTAAAGATTGTTATTAGGATATAAAAAATGTGTTTCTGCATAACACTTTTACGTTTGTTTATAAATATTTGTTGCAAAATAAAATCATCATTTACCTTGATAAATTTGTCTTTATTCACAGGATATATATATATAAATATATATATATATATATACACACCACATATAAATATAATAGACGTTTTGTTTATAAATATTTGTTAAAAACTGTAAATTGTTATTAGGATAAAAAATGTGTTTCTGCATCACTTTTACGTTTGTTTATAAAATTTTGCAAAATAAAATCATCATTTACCTGATAAATTCCATCAGTCTTTATTCACATACATATATATATATATATATATATATATATATATATATACACACACACACATATAAATATAATAGACAAGAGGAGTTCTTGTTTAGTTTAGAATTAATATGAAAGTTAACAGCACTGTAAATTAAAGATTGTTATTAAGATATAAAAAATGGGTTTCTGCATAACATTTTTACGTTTGTTTATAAATACTTGTTGCAAAATAAAATCATCATTTACCTTGATAAATTCCATCAGTCTTTATTCATATATATATATATATATATATATATATATATATATATGTGTGTGTATCTGTGTAAATATATATATATCTACACACACACACACATACATACATAAATATAATAGACAAAGGGAGTTTTGTTAATTTTTCGTGTTTTTTGTACTAGAGTTCTTATTTCTGGAGTAATTGAAAATAAACATTATTTATGGAAGATCTAGTTCTAACATTTTCAATAGCTTTATATTTTGGAGATAATAATTTAAAAAAAACTTTGGTACAAAAATAATAGATTCTAATAAAACTCACCTTGTTTGTCATAATTAATAAAACTAACATTTTTGACAATTCTACATATTTGGGATAATACTTATTTCCACTTAATCTCAAAATAAAAAAAATAAAAAACTCTGGTAAAAAAAATAAGAAAATTTAACAAAACTTACCTTGCTTGTCATATTTAACAGAACTAATATTGTGATATAATAAAAGTAACATTTTCAAAAATTTTACACATTTGGAATAATACTTATTTCCACTTCATCTCAAAATAAAAATGAAATCTCTGGCAGAAAAATAAGAAATTTTAATAAGAAAATTTAACAAAACTCACATTGTTTATCATATTTAATAAAACCTTATTTGTCATATTTCATAAAACTTGTTTAAAAAAGAAAATTGCCGCCAAAGTATATTGTCACTTGTCACTTGTACATATTTCACTGATTTTTTTTATTTTATTCAAATTTTTTACTCTCTAACATATATTTTCTTTCCTTTTGTAGCATTTTTAAATTTGTATACAGTAATTTCTTTTGCATAAAATTTTAATAAAGTAAATCTATTTTCATGATGTGATTGTATGATTTAGTACAAAATAAGTGTACCAGTGTAAATTGTCAATGTAATAGTTAACTTAAATTTTCTTTTGCTGTGTTAGAATGGGTCATACTGAATTAACAAGTTGACTGCTATATATATATATATATATATATATATATATATATATATATATATATACACATTTTTGCTTAACATTATTTCTCATTATTATAAACATTATTTTAGAGAGTACATGTGTTTGAGCTGTTATCTTTGTTTTTTTGGGTTTTTTTCTAACTAGTGAAATTATTAGCAACTAGCCTAGATTGAGGAAGTCGAAGGTACAAGTTTTCTTTAATGGAACTTCTCAATTTAGACCTGTTGTTATTAATTTCACGGTTTAAGAAAATAAAAAACAGGGATAGCAACTCAAATATATGTATAATATTTAAAAATAATGCTTATAGTAATAAGAATACATATATATATATATATATATATATATATATATATATATATTTTATTACTATATTATATATATATATATATATATATATATATATATATATATAGGGTGCAAATGATAATTTGTCATCTAAATTACACAAAAATGAAAATAACTGATAGCTCATTTTAACAGATATATTTATCAAAATTACACAAAAATATCTAGAAATGATAAAGAGCAAATTTATTCAATAAAATCACCATTGACTTCAACCACGACCACCAGACAACTTCGGAATCTCCTACAACTCTTTTGGACGGTCTCCTTGTTTAAGTTGGTGAATGCTGCCATAATCCTTGCCTTCAGTTCATCTTTGGTGTTACAAGGTGTTTTGTTTGTTTCTCACTCAACTGCACCCCACACATAATAATCTAGGAAGTTGCAGTCTAGGGAGTTAGGTGGTCATATGGAAGTAGTGATGTGGTTGCAGAAATTGTCTGACTGGGTTCTCCTGCTTGGGTGGTATGGTGCAAAGTCCTGTTGCCAGACATAGGGTCTTCCAGCAGCCACCCTCTTGACCCAGGGCAGCACTACCTCTCAAGGCACTTGATGTAGGCCTCCATGTTGCATAATGTCACCATCACTAGTGGTCACTTCAAATACCTTCGTAATCACCATTAGACTGATCCAACACACCTCTCGCCTGTGGAACCCCCTTCCCTATTCCAGTTTCCCTGAGAGCTATAATTTCCAGCTATTCAAATGTAATGTCAATCCA